CATTAAAATGATGTATGAAAAAAGTGATGAAAACTTCCTACTTTTTCTAATTCCAACAAGGCATGTCGAACTCTTATGTTTTATCTGACTTATGGGGAATCTGAACACAGACATCTTGGCCAATCACTTCCATGATTTTTCAAATTTCGTTATGAGACATGATAATCATATATAAAAATTCTCTCCGGGGTACATGAAAAAACAATGCACTTCAAATGCTTGTTAAAGTTTCATCCGAGTGTTGAAAGAGATCAAGTGCTTTTATGGGCTTATCTTCCCATCATATTCCTCTATATATGAAAGATTATTCACTTTCAAACTCTAAGTTGACAATTGTGCCCATCATCGTCCTTAATGGGTTGTATCTTTTGATTTATCTTGTTTAACAACACGTCCTTTTTAAGTTGTTTGATCATGGCCTCTATGTTGTCCAATATATTCTTTAAAATCTACTTATTGCATCCATATTGTATAAATTGTGACATGTCATGTCTTTTTGGATCCTTTAACTTCGTTATACTTGGCCATCGAGATTTCGAAGGTGACCTATGTTTCCATCTGAGCGCCTATGGTGAATTCTTATTCGTGTGTCCACCATTTTATCATCCTTTTATATCGAGATGAATACCTCAATCTCAATTCTCTTATGTACTTGGATCTCGTTATTGAACTTTTTTCTATTCTCTGAGATGTGAATTTTCTTGATTGACAATCTAAGACGAATAAGTGAAAATAGCTCTCTGACCTATTAGGGTGTGTTTGGTTCAGGGTAGATGGAGGGGAGGGGAGGAAAAATCTATAATTAATTATGTTTGGTTCAAATTTTAGGAGGTGAGAGGAGGGGAGCAAAATCCCTTCAAAACAAATTTTTTGCATCTCTCCAAATTGGAGCGATTTGGAAGGGAGGGGGAGGGAAGATGAATGTTTGTTTTAAAAAAATTATTATATTCACTAAAATATTCCTAGTTTAATTTTAATATTTCAAATTTATTATTTTTTCTTTTGTCTTACTGCTTCTTTTTTGTGTGATTTTTCTCTATTGCTTCAATCAATTTATTATAATTGTTCTCCACCTTCTTGTTTTTTAGTTTTTGTACTTAACATAAACTATAATCATCTCAATTTTTTATAATTTTTTAATTTATTTATGATTGTTTTTTAATTTTATTATATATTATATTATTTTTTTAAATATAAAATAAGTGATTTCTTTTAAGTTATTTTCTTTTGTATAATTTTGTTACACATTCTGTTATATTTTTCTATATAATATAAATTATTTCTTTTTAACTTGTGTTTTAATTGTCGTTATAATTGTTTTTCTTTCATTAATATTTAATTTTAAATTATTTTATGTACGTTTTTACTATATGATTCATCACAATTTGTCTTTAAATATAAATAAAAAATGGTAATTTGAGAAAGAAAAATCCGAAGGCATAGCAAAAATTGGGAATGGGGAGCAGCATAGCATGGAAGCTTCTTCTTCTCAATGCTCTAGAATCCAACACTCATCTCAAACACTCTTCTTACATGCAACTCGTAACTCTTCATCTTCTTATACATTTTTAACCAATTTTTATTTATTTTATCTTTATCGTTTCATCTATGTTTCAGGCAACCATAGGAACCAACGGAAAACCTTCAAACCGCACTGTCGTTTTCAGGTTCTGTTATTCTCTTTGTCCTTTCACTCTCTCACATAGTTTAACCCAAACTCATCACACGTCATCATTCATTCTTTTGAATTTTCAGAGGATTCCAAGACAACACCGATAACATCCTTATTAACACCGATACCCGAACTCGCAAGGTGTTTTTTTAATTAAATTTTGTAATAGGAATTTAATGTTAGAAATATAAAAACTGGGTTTTCGTTTGTTTGTAATTTTGTTCAGGAAAGTTTTGAAATTTGGATCATGGATTAGATTTTTCATTGGAAAGTTGATTACTTTTTGCTTTGTTTGTAGTATAGATTGAGGAGCTGAAGATTTGTTCTTGTGCTGAGGTTATTATTCTCTGAGGTGTTTCTTTTTTATAAGAATGTAAAAAACTGAGGGCTTAGGTTTTGTGGTTGTTGTGGTTAGATATGTTGGTATTTCACAGATTCGTGGGAGCAGTTTCGGATAAATGGGCATGTAGATGTTATCGATGAGACGAATGCTGATCCGGTTAAACTTCAGGTTTGCTTAGAGGTTTTCAGTTATGATTGAATTTGAATCACATTTTGTTTATCATTGGTTAGAGCAATTCCCATTTGATTATCAATTCATGGTGCAGCAAAGAGAAAAGTCGTGGTTTGCGAGTTCTGTGAGATCAAGGGCACAATATTTGTGGCCTAACCCAGGGCTTCCATGTCTAAATGAACAAGCACAAACAGAAATATTGCTGGATCCTTCTATTGGTCCAGTTGATGCTTTTTGTCTTCTGGTTCTAGAACCAGATGAGGTGCTGACTACTGAGGCATTTTCTCTTACTTTTGATACACGCCTTTTCGCTTTCACATATTGAATATGGTTTCAATTATTTACAGGTTGATTACTTGAATCTAAAGAGTAACCAGAGGCTAACATTCAGATCAAGTTTGAATTCGGCAGCAAAGAAAAACTGGATTGTTGAGAGGGTTAACCCGTGATTTCATTGTAATCAACTAATTGCATGTTCTTAGAGTATCAGAGAGAGAGAAAGAGAGAATTGACTGGAGAGTGCTGGTAAGATTTTTATTTAATAAGAGTCATATAGAGTCAGCTTTTATGCCGCATAACTTTCTGAGCAATTGACTGTTGTACATGTTCAATGTAAACCTATGAGGCTATGACATCTTAATATATGAACATCTTACTGGAGTCGTATTTTATCACTTTGATTTCCAATAATATAAATATTTTTTAGTTCAATTTATAATTTCGATGAATTAGTACACAGAAATTAAACTAAAGGAAAAGAGATTCGACGATGTAGGTAAGTCCAATTGGTAAGGGTTCAGGTCATAATCTCAGATCCCACAAGAATCTTCGCTACCGATATGAGGACCTCATTGTGGATAATATGAAAGTAGCTTTGTCTGAGCTTTCTGTTAGGGGAGAATATGAGTGTAGAATGGTCTACAAGGGAGGGGGCAGTTGAATAGACGTTTCTCTAAAACCATTTTCAAAACATTTTCTTCAAAATCAGAGTTTTACTAACAACGTGGCAGCAGAATTTTGTAAAAGATGCGTTTGAATTGATTTCATGATACTCAGAACATTAGAAAATACAATGTCTGTGAAAGATGATGATGCTTAAACAAGCAATACATCAATTAATTGAATTCAATTTACACATGATGTTTAAATTGAATCTTATTTATCAAGCAATCAATCTAATATTAAGTGTCTATAATGTTATAATCACCTGAAAGAAGATTTAAATGACTAAATCTATCACAGACTCACACTTATACATGAATCACTATAAGCAGATAAAAAACCTAGCAACATATGATTCTAGACAACGATAAAACTTAAGGTCATACAAATCTAGATTGAAATTTAAAAGAGAAGGGAAAGAGAAATTGTGCATCAAATTTATACTCGTTCAGCCCATTTGTCACCGTTAGCACTCAATCCAGTCTTCAACAACAAACCATTGAAAATTTGTTAGGTCTTCCACTATTTTGCAAATTAATATACGAGAGTTTTTGTTACAACGGACAATCAAGAGAACTCTTAATACTTCAAGCCAAAAAGCTAAGCAAACATAGATCTGAATCTAGATTTCCCTTCTGTTGTAGGAAGAGCTCTAAAAACTGCCAAATCTACAAGATCTTCACTCGATTTTGAGCTCGTCACCCTCCTAGAACCAAAGTTTTGCTCCAATATTCTGTCCGCAGCAGTCTTCACTCAACCCTACCGGAATTCCCTTGTGAGCCTTTGTTCTACGGAAGGATCTTAGAAACTCTGAAACTTCGTCTGCAGTGGTCTTCACTCAACTCTACCAAAATTTTCTTGGAGAAGAAAATTAATCTTTTTCCTTAATGGAAGTCAGTCTCCAGACCCCATAATTACAAAACGATTCTTTAATCGGTTACTAATAAAAGATTCACAAAAACACTAGATTCCCTAATGTATCATGCAACTACCACTTACTCAATCTTTAGAGTTGAGTACCACAATAATGAAGTTTTTGGTTCAAGGTTGAAGATGATTGGTTGTCTAAAGAATCTCACACAACTCCTTATTAGAATTTTCTCAATCAACACTCTATGAAGTTTTTCTCTAGGCTTGACTTGAGAGAAAAGGTGTTTGCGAAAGAAAGAACACATGGTTTTTCTGAATTTGTGAAAAATCTGGATTCACACTCATGTGTGTATGAATGTGTCTTGTATTCTCATTATCACCATCATTTGGAGAATGACAAAATGATTTATATACGGGCGAGAGATAACGCACAAAATATGTAAAAAATTAAGTAGTTGATTCGAGTTAGATCCTACAATTATGATTTGAACAAGATTAAAAAGTGACTTGAATCAAGGTGATAAATTCAAGGTTTGGCTTGCTTGATTCGGATCATGATTTGTATTATGTGATTCAAATCAAGCAGTTATATGATTTGAATCACACAACCAGAGGTAATTTTTAGAAGAATTTATTTAGTCATGATTCGTATCAACCTTAGCTCTGGTTCACATCAAGGTGTCTTCCATTCGAATCAGACAAAACCTTGATTTGGATTACACTTAAAGCGCCAAATTCCAAATTCCCCTTTTGTTCTTGATTCGAGTCAGCCAAGTTGTGATTCATATCAAGTTTTTTTTTTTGAACACATATCAAGTTTAAAATACACCTTTTTTTAAGACTTCTAACTTGTGATTCTAGGCACACATGGTTGACTTTAACCAAAAAGCTCAAAACAAAAAACGTTGCAATGATCCTACGATAAATGATAAAATCAAATTACAAATGAACGATACAATCAAATAATCAATAATTCGCAAATAGCGAAAATACGACAAAACATCAAAATACACAAATGAAATTCAAGGTTACCGAAGAAGCAATTTCACTTTCTGAGTCATAAAGCTTTCCATGATACCAGTGAGCTCCCGAGACAGAATTTTGAGTCGTAAAGCTTTCCATGATCCTAGAGGTTCCGAGACAGAACTTGCCTAAACTTTTCCCATACCAAAAAAAAAGGAAAAAGAGATTTGCATTCATGTATTCATTTTGCTTCTTTACATCCATAAATTTCTTTTAAAAGAAATGCACTAGTGCCACATTTTACAGCTACAAACTTGGAGCTAAAGAATGCTCAAACTCGGAAAAAGGTCACACAATTATCTGTTAGCACTATTTGTTTTGATCTGTTGGTAGTCTTTAACATAGTGGTAGGTCTGATGGGGGATGTGGTAGGGACTCTAGTTCTCCTTTTCCATTCTTCACTATAAATACCATTCCAAGTCCCCATGATTGGTGTATATCAATGTGACAGTGCATGTACCACACACCTGCAAAAGGTATGCTACTATAAGAAACTGTTTCTTGATGTTTTGGTAGAAAAATATAGAAAACAGAAATGTACGTTTAAGTGTATACCTGGATTATCGGCTACAAACCGGACAGCTGCCCATCCCCCCACTGGAACACCGACTGTATTCATGTACGGGGGATCCACTAAATTGAATTTTGCAGTTAGTGGATTATAGTTGCCTGCGCCATACCCTACAACGTAAAAGCTGTAGCCATGAATGTGAATCGGGTGGTTTTCAATGTTGACCGTCCCTGTGTTTTGCAAAATGAGTTGCACCTTGGTTCCGTATTCAAGGACCTTAGTTCTAGTCCCATTCAACGACTCCGTGTCATATGGAATGTTATTTGGGGCACCATTAACGAAGTCATAGAACTTAGAGGGTGCGTCGGGGAAATCTTCAGTATATGTTCCATTTACTTTATTATAATAAGCTTCCAGGATTGATATACGGGGATGAACGAAACTTATATTGTTCATGGAAGCTGTCAGTACACCATTATTCATGGCTTGACAGTTTTTCTTTGGTGTCTTCGAGTGGCATCTTTGAACATTCAATCCAACGGTGATGAATATGTTTTTATCAATTTCATTAAAAACATTCACTTGATTTAGGCTCCTTAATCCATCCATGACTGTCTTAACAGCTAACTTATCATCAAGCTTAGGTAATTTAGCCTGTAAATATGAACAGTTAGATTCGGCCCCGTTATAGTTGAAGTAGGCAATCGCTGAAACGTTTTGATATTTGACAATCCTGCCAGACTTGTAAGGTGCAACTGCCATGGAGTATTTTCCTACTGGTTGATCAGCTGAGACTAGGACATTTAGTGTTTGGCCCGGTCCAAGCATCACCGTGTCTGTGGTGAATGGCTTCGTGTATTCACCATCAGCTTCCACAATCTTTAGTTTGTGATTAGCAATGGCAAAGAAGTTCTCGGTGTTTAAACCCGCATTAATCAGTCTTAACAAGTAGGTCCTTCCCGGAATCACATTAAGTTGGTACACATCTGAAGAGACGAGAAATGAAATGAAACATATCAATGAAATCAGTGTTTTCAGTATTATTTGTTAGTTGTTATCTTCTTTTATCTCAAAAATACCGATAATGGAGCAGTTATAGTTGGGGCCTGGATGATTGTTAATGGTATATGCATCTGCTGGAGGTGGAGCTCCTCCACTCACTAGAGTGGCATGCTCAACTTGTTGTAGATCCTTCAGCCAATATTCCCCTGCCATAATTCAAATCATCTCGCAACATCAGCGAAGAAAACATACAACATGAAACAATGAATTCAAACCAAAGAAGCCATCTTGTAAGTTAGTTACCTAGTATGATTATTTGCTCTTGATAAGGATTCTTATATGGGAAAGGTACCCTATTCTTTGGATAAACAATCATAGCTCCATGAACCGTTCCTCTTAGCCACGAAACATGAGCATGCCAGAAGAAAGTTCCCTTCTGATTCACCACTGTAAAATTATAGGTGAAACTCTGGCCTGCTTGAATCGGACATTGTGTAATATAAGATGGTCCATCGTACCAGCACGATAGCTTTTGCCGGATACCATGCCTTAAAATTCGAAACTCAAGCTTGTTAGTTAAAAAAATTCGTTAGTTAAATGAAGTACATTGTTTATGAGGCTGTGATTGAGATCCTACCAGTGAATGGTAACATTGAAAGGTGTCTTATTGATAACCTTGACTATGATTCTATCATCTTCTTGTGCATAAACTACAGGTCCTGGAAACATACCATTGACTGTAACAATTTCTTTGGAGTTGCAAAGTTTGGTAACTCTTTTAGTTTGAACCTGTACAATAACCAATAAGCACATCAACAAATATAGAGAAATATAGCTATCAAACACAGACTCCGACACAGACACCGGAACACGGCACGACAAAAACATTGACAGTGATTAATGTAAAAAATGTAAGACATTGATCCTGCTACATATATGATAGTATTTAACACAACCTACCTTAAAATCATAGAACCTAGTTGTTTCTCCCATTACACTTCCTTGTGCCATAAGTTTCACATTGGAGATAGTTAACATCAAACACAACCCAAGCATAAACAAGGTGGAGACTAAGTTGGCCATTTTTAGGAGAAGTGAGCATAGATTGTGGCACAAAGTAGAATATAGGAGAAGCCCTTTTTAAATGAGTGAAACAATCTTTGGTAGATTTTTTTCCACTCTGATTAAAGGAAATTCAGAAAAAGTGTATTGATGCAGGTTCCATTCTATTTGTCAGCTTTCATGATTCCTCTAGCGTGAAAGTGTGATAATAAGATGTTGGAATGTGATTATTCAACATCACCACAATGGTAGGGAAGATTTTAACATACCCTTTTTCTTCCAATCCTATCTGTTTTTACTCTTCTTTCTTGTCAACATTTTCTCTTACAAATCATACCATTGACTCAGAATAGAGGACACACATGCTTCTGTCAAGCCCCACCACAATCACCTACTTTCCTTTCTGTTATACTTGTTTTTGCATAAATTTGAATGTTTTTATTACTTTTTCTTGTAAGTTTTGTTCAAGTTCATTATTAATATTTAAAGTTCTATGGTAGAACTAAAACTACATCGCAGAATTATCCCTTCAGCTATAAAGTTGTGAAAACGGAATATCTGGTCCTAAACGGGCTGGTCCCTGACGGACCTCGAGTTTATTAGGGCTGGACTAAAAAAAATTGGTATAATATGAATTCAAAATAGATTACTCAGTGTCCTAGATAAGTTGCAGACTATCCGATTCTAAATGAGCCATTTATTTATTATTATTTTTATAATTTTTTTTACAATATTTATTATTATTTTTATAAATTTTTTTACATTATTAATTATATAGAAGTATATTACTTTGAATACAATACATTAAATTATTTTTCAAAACTAATCCTAACATGTTTTTAAATACAATACAAATTTAAAATTGTTTAAAATAAGCGATAAATATAATGAAGTGTCACAACGTGGTTTTTTTTAATGAAACAACATAAATAATTATTAGGCTTAATTGCAACTATGGTCCTCCTATTTAATTTTTTTCTTGATTTTGATCCCCCGTTTTAAAAATCACAATTTTAATCCCTTTTTTATATTTTCTTTTGAATTTTCGTCCCCTCATTTTAAAAATCATAATTTTGGTCCTTTTTTAAGTTTTAAGTTGCAATTTTAGTCCCCTTTCTAATTCTGGTGATGATGAAAAAGGGACCAAAATTCAAAATAAAATTTAAAGAGAGGCCTAAAATTGCAACTTAAAACTTAAAAAATGGATCAAAATCATGATTTTTAAAATGAGGGGACGAAAATTCAAAAGAAAACTTAAAAAAAGGACTAAAATGGTGGTTTTTAAAATGGAGGGGTCAAAATCAAGAAAAAAACTAAATAGGGAGACCAAAGTTGCAATTAAGCCTAATCATTACTATACTTTTAAATTTTTTTAACTATAGAAACTAAATGGTAGCCTAGTGACTTATACGAGTTAGCCCTAATAGGTTAATAATCTTCATAGGACTGGGCTAAAATAGTCATGGAGTTGCTTTTCACACTCTTAGTGGTGAAGAGCCACACTATAAAAACTCGAAATTGCCCTTTAAAATTTCAGAAGTATACTTTCGGATGCACTACATTCCACACTCCATCCATTTGTAAGTGAGACACAACCTTCATTTTGCCATAAGTTAGTCCAGAGATGCATCTCCTTAATAAAATACAGAAATATACTTTCGTAATCACCCTTTAGGTAGTAAAATTTGATTTTTTATTTATTAAAAAATACACTGATGTAATAAGTATACTAATGTAACAGATCATTTATACTATCATAATAAATTTATTATCAATTAAACTATACAATGATGTAAGAAGATTAAAATATCATATGTTAGAATCAATCCAAAATCTATAATACTATCAAAATGATAGATTACAAACCATAATATTATTCACAATCCATAATACAAATACCATTGGGTATATCTGACCCCTTGTTTCTTCTATATCTCATGTACTGTAATGTCATTTGTGTCTTAGATAGAATGACATCTATAATGTCTCTTTCAGAAGTACCTTCCGGAAAGTCTACTCTCTTTATACCCGCTCGTGCAAAGGGATTAATACAAGATGCAATCAACGACATGATTTTCTCTAGTATGCTCTTTTTATAATATCTTCCGATGAGTTGACTTAGGTGGATCTTTGTGAGTATCTGGTATCATGTAAGGATGTGACACTCTGGAATACCATATTGGATGTAGCTGAATGCACTACTCCATTGGCGAGAAACTGCCACACTTCATGCTTCATCTTGTGTTAGATGATTATATAATCATCACACATCACATCTACATCTCCGTGGACCATATTGGGAGGAGCAAACATAAATGGGTCTCTTGGAACAACGTGTGGATACCCGAACAGGTGAATGATTCGATCAGGCAGATTTGGATACACTAAGCGTGACCCATAAGGCAACCATTCAGTGTAGAAGGCTATGTCATTCAATGGACACGTCTGACAATGGTTGTTATACAATGTGTAGCTTATATCATTTGTTACAGTGCAGTTAAGAAACATTTTAAAGGGCCCAGTCGTCTGATTCCCTCTAAGCGGAACGAATGCACAAGTACGTGGCTGATCCTCTGTGTAGTCATCAACATATGAGCAACCGAAGATGCGTGGAAAGTGATGAAAGATCCATGCTTGAAAATGATACAAATGAAATATTAATAATGACGTAGCACAAGTGTTATGAAAATGATACAATAACAGTAAAGGTGAAAATATATTATCATAAACAACATGTAACTTAATGTCATCTGTCTGGTCTTCCAAAGATAAACTCCAACTAACTTCGAGTACATGTAAATAAAATAAGCGGCCCCCATTTATACTCATGAACGCTCTCCAAGTCAATGAAGTATCTAAGGTAAACCACATTGAAGTAATAAACACTTTTCCCCATAAATATGGACATGCCAACAAAATACATGAGGTATGACGTCAATGCATTTGCTCTATGATGCATAATTTGTGCACCATCACCATCGGCCTCCACTTTCGCACCCAGGGGGTGTACATACAACTTCTCCATGAATGTAAATTTAGCATGACACCTTCTGGTATCTTCCAACTCCTTTAGGACATCCTCTGGGTCAACTCCCAAATAGGTAACCATCACCTCTAGTACTTTAGGTCTGGTCATTATGGAGTGGTCTAATAATATTTCCATGATCAGAAGATGTAGCAGAGATGACACATTATCCAGTGTGATCGACATCTCACCATGCAGAAGATGAAAATATTTCATCTGAGTCCCATCTCTTAACAAAAACTGACAATTTAGTATGATTAATAATAGTATAATCGATCATGCATTAATCTCAAATCCTAGATAATTACATGGTATCGTGAAACCATTGCTCCTCCGATCGTTTCCGCCTCACAATCTTCCTACCATGGTTGATGCATTTTAAAGCATCACAGTACTGCAAAATATACATCATCGTCAGAAAGTTTAAATATTATAACACGTGTTTCAAAAAATAAATACATATAAATTTTACCTTTTCGTCCCACACATGCCTAGTAGCATGGTTTGCATACAGAGGCAGTAGCGAAGTGTCATATGGGTCTCCTCCAAAAAAATTAGGAACGGTAACATCAACATCAAGTGCTTTAACCTAGACTGACAGGGCTTCCGGGGCTACAACATGTGACACTTTCCTCTAGGAAGACAGAGTCAGAGATACATGGACCCTAGAAGTTGATGCTTCCACGTTAAATAAACCGGCACCAACCGATGGGCGCGAATGCCAGGCTTTCATGTGAACAAATGCATGTTTGGACACTCAATAATGCCTTAATCGTTCTTGGTTGTCAGTCATGTTAGCTATAATTAAACCAAACTGTAATACGGTGGGAGAACTGACCTTTTTTAACGTTTTATCGCAAATGTTGCGGTTAGCAAGAGTCGTCACCAGCTTTTCTTTTATCCAACAAGGAAAGGTTGAAAAAAACAGGAAAGACCTTTAAAGATTTTGAGTTCGGGGGTAGGTTATGAAAAGGGAAGGTGTTAACACCCTTTTCATCTGTAGTTATCTACGCGCTCTTAATCGCTTAACTCACTTTGAAAATTTGCTTTTTGTGTGTGTTTGAAAATATTTTAAAAATGCCAATGTAAGGCGAACTTTGTAATGATTCTTGTATCGGTCCTCAAGAATGCGTACAAAGTGTTTTGTAAATATCTTTGAAAGTGTTTGTGTGAGATGCTTTTGTTTTGAAAAATTTATGAGCAAGCGATTAATAGTATTTTACCCACTCAAGGTCGTTCTTGCACTTTTTTCCTTCTCCTTTAGAGATAGTGCTATCTGTATCATTAGTTGGTAGATAGCCTTATCTATGGGATGTGAAGGGACATCGAGGGTCGTCGTACGGTCATTGAAGATAACTCGTAAGGATGCTTTAGCAATTTCGTAAGGGACTAGATCATTTTTCAAAAGGCAACGTCGAAGGGTCATTGAGGGACTATGATCTTTTATTCAAGGATGTTTGCTAAAGCATCCATACGTTCGAGGGACATGACCGTTGTTTTTCTGAAGGCAACAGAGGGAGATTATCCTAGAGGTGCAAGTGTTCCAGTGTGTTGATTCAGTTATTTCATCTTGCATTAGGGTTTTCTAGCGTTTGATTATTATCTTGCCATACAATCCTATTAGCTAACAGTTATATATACATACAAGGCATACAAAGTATAATTGCGAGAAAATAAAATGTGAGAAAGTAAAGACCTACAACTATTACATGGCTTCGGGAGAATTATAATATTTAAAAATTTAAGGGAATTTAAACACTAAGCTATTACAAAAAACTCGTGCGACCTATAGAATTGTTTCTAAGAAATGGCAAAAGTAAACAAAAATGTTTGCATAAATTATCTTTAAACATCTAAAAAATTAGAAATTAATTTTTTGTGCATTTTTTGGTTTGATTTGCATAATAAAATAAAATAAAAACTAATGTCTAATTTTAATTACAAATTAAATAATTTGTTGAGAAAAAAAATAATTCTAAATTAATTAAAATATTTT